CACTCCTGCTAGAAACAGTAAGGGGACAAGCACGTAAACAGCAACAGCTCAGGGGAAGGCTATGACTGCACCGACAGTGGGGCACACCTGGACACGTACAAACTGGAGACAGTGTCTTTAGGTCAGACTCACCATATCTTTGCTGCTCAAAGCTTTGGAGTCATTTATATTATTTTTCAGTAAGTTGCATGCAGACAACATTTTTTCACTTAACTCATACCTAAAGGGGGAGAAAAATAGAGCTCATGTTCATGACTGGCCACAAGAGGAAAGCCATTTTTTATCTTAACGCTATATCACCCTTTAAAAGACAAGTGGCCCCCCAAAGCCAGCCTAGGCAGATGGTGATGGTGCTTGATTGGAGGTACCCTCCCTATCTGCAGGTGTCTGAAGATTGATGCCACTGTGCAGAGCCAGTACCTCAGCCAGCCAGAGCTCAAGGTCTTTTTATGAGGATATTTCAGTTTCCCCAGTTTGGCCTTTATAACATTATAACATAACATTTGGAGATATTTTGCTCCTTTTGTTCTAAGTTCTTAAACATTTTTACTCTTAAGGGATTGAAGAGGTCCAATTTATCCTATATCTATTAGGCTAACGAGTAAACCACATATCTGAACCCACATTTGGTGACTTAACAAGTATTTGTTTATCCCATATAAAAAATTAAACTGAAAAAATCAGATGACATGGTACAGAAATTATATCTGAAGCTATTAAAAAAAAACAGATGATAAGATATTGAGCCATTGGAAAACACTTGGAAATATAAACTAAAAACACTTACCTTGTGTTAATGCAGTTAAATTTTCATTTGTCAAATTAAGTGGAGATAAGTTTTCTGAAATGTACTATTTATATTTCATACAGTGAAAAAACCACACTGAAATTTCCATCTTTTCCATTCTATTGTCTCCTGCTTTATGAGCACAAAATCCATATTTGCTAATAGTCTTTAAAACTTACTACATTTTTAGGTTTATGTTTCAGCCAACAAGAGTGTGTGATATTTTATTTCAGGTGCTATTTATAATATTCCTAAATCCATTCTTGTGGTGTTCCTGAACACTCAACGCACAACATATAGGCATGTAAGTGATATATATCACCTGTACAGTAAATGTAAAATCTGTGGTTGATTCCAAACAACTGTTTCACACAATGATCCTGTAATAATAATACTGACACCCATATTAACATAAATGGCTAAAGATAAAATCTGAAACCTTAAAAAACTGTGTGTTGGTCACTAAAAAATTCAAATATGCCTTTAAATATGAGGTGAAATGTTGAAAAAATGGAAGCTTTAGTGGATGGTGGTTTCAAATGTAAAATTAGATAGCAAAAAGAGTTTCAAAGAACAAATGTCATTAGATATAAAGCCATTCTCTTTGCTACCATAAGAGATCCAAGAGTTACCACACTCTATACTTATATTTATTAATATCTCAATGAGATGTGCATACCTCTGAGGAACAGATAAGACTAAATAGATATAATTGCATAATCTCTGAACTGGCCAACTCTACAAAGTACATTAAACATGGGAATGTTGGGGAGGAAAGGGGAATGTACCACACCTCTCTCTGATCTCCACCTTCTCAGGTTCACATTCTTGAACCTGCATTTCATCTTCCACCCTGGCAGACTTGAAACCTTCAATATTAACTGCATGGTGCCCTTCTGCCATTCCCCGAGTGTCTTCATCCTCTTCCTCCTCCTCCTCCTCTTCTTCAGGAGGATATTCAATGACATCACACTCGTCATCTGACTCGGAAGAAGAGCTTTCATCTGAGCTGGAATCATCACTTGAAGTTGTTTCATACCTAGGTGGCAATTGGGATTTCAGGAGATACAAGGTGTGCCCATAAAGACCCAGTGACAGAATTTTTACGCAGGGAAAGCTGCTACCTGACTCCAGAAATTTTGCCAGTTGTTTTAGACATGCCCTTAGAAGTTCAAAGTAAGGTCTATTTAAATGTCTAGTGGTTTTGAACAGATTCAGACCTAACATACTAATTGCCACATGAGTTGTATTTAACTCACACTAGTTTTGAGCCCAGGGCCTCGTAAAGCATATGTAACTCACATCTCCACCTTGGGAGCTGCAAGAACTAATTTTCAAGTTGCATATAATTCACGCACATAAAACAATAAAAAATAACTAATTTTTCATTAAATTAGAAAGGATTCATTTTGTTTTTGAAGTTTTTATTCTATTTTCGTAATAAACCACCACAGCCCCAAGGAAAAAAATTTTTTTTTCTAGTGTGGTGGTCAATGTGTTAAAAGGAACAACCTGGGTTGGCAGCTGGTATCACATCCGCTTGTTAAAAAAAATTATGGCATGTCTGGCTTAGTATAAATCAAGAGAAAATTTACTTCATAGTAACTAACCAGATCTGCAGTTGCTCATTTTTTATGTCTTTCCTTTTTTCCTGTTCTTCCTATTTTGCTCTATTAATTCTCCCAGTGTCAAGGTGAATATATTACTTATATAACCAGTAGTTTCTCTGGTGCATGCCCTCCAAAATCTCCTGGGCCACATCAACCAATAAAGTTTTTAAGATTTAGAAAATGGGTACCATTGTTGTATCTTGGTGGCACACTTTACTGTAAATATTATCTCAGCTATGTACTTTTGTTTTCTTCCTGATTAATGTATCTTATTGATATTGAATAATTATCTACTAATCAGTTATTTGCTTTGATTCAATTATAGGAGGACAAAGAGGCTTAACTTTACCTGGGCCAGTTGGAAGAGGAGGAACAAACAATAAACATTCTATTTTGAAAGCAAAGAACTGATGGCGTGGCTAGGTCATTCTTCAGGTGAAAGGCCCTACAATTTTGTGACCATGGAGAACTAAGCCAAACCATCTATTTGGAAGGAGTGGCTGACTATCACTGGCCCACTGAGTGATGCTCTCAGTCTCTGCTCTGAGTTCTAACATAGGTAGGTACAAGTTGTCCAACAGTCCAGGAACCCTGCTGCATTCATTGAAGACTAATTTTTTTCAGATCAGAGGTGAGGAGGTGGAAACTGCTCAGCTTCATCAGGTATCCTTAAGAGAGTGAGATATCCTTAAAGATAGCAAGAAGAGAAGAGGAGAAGCCCAAATGCACCTTTCTGAGGAGGGAATCTTCCATCACCACGATGTGGCAGCTTCCCAGACCAGGTACCTTAAAATGTGACTTAAACAGGCAAGGAGGCAAAGGAGACAGACAGTGTTAAACTCTAGGTACCATCTTTCCTTACCCTCCATTAATGCCAACAAACTGAAGATTCTTTTTCGTGCCGTTTGAATCTTTGTTACCATCTTTCTTCTTCATGATGGACTTCAGCGTACTTTCATTATTTGTACATACTGTAAAAAAGTCAATCAAGGTGATCAAAATGAACAAAACTCATACCTGTACAAGTTAAATGAATAGGTAATCTCTCTTCCTGTACAATTATTTTTTCTCACACAGGTAAACATACATCTTGGCACATATATATATATATGAGAAACTTGCACAAAATTCATTGGAAAAATGTGCGCATAGAAAGAAAATAATTCAAAGTTCCATTAATAACAGTTTTCAAATGGGAAAAAAGTCAATCACTACTTCCAGACATAACAAAACCAGTGACAACTGGCATTTGTGCCAGGATTTAATGTTTATAAAGTGATGTCGTGTCTCATTTGAGCCTCAGAAACCCCTTAGGCACTAAGATAGGGATTATTATTATTGTTCTTTTTCTACAGCTGAGATAACCTGGAAAAAATTTATGCCTGCCAGAATGTGATAGAATGAACTGCTGTTTAAGATATTTAACAATTTGCAGTATCAGATAAGCTTTCTTAAGGGATTGTTCAGCTTGCTTTCTTTGGTACTCTTAATTTAAAGGTATTCTAGGTCTGCCTTCTAAACAGCAATATAATCTTTTTTCCAGGTCAGTTTATAAAGCACACTGGTATGAAGCTGGAATGCTGACAATTTGGTCCCAGAATCCTCATGCCCAGGACTGAGAAACGTTACCGTAGAGGCCAGCGGCTATCTGGTCATCTGTCAGGTTCACTGCAGACAGTGCACACTCCTCGGTGGGGAAGGTGTCCTGGCTGCTGAGGGCCTTTCCATCCGTGGTCCCCACCTCTTGCTCAGGCTGGGATATCTGGGTGCTTAATGGCCCTCTTGACTGAAGGCTTCCACACTTACAGGTATATTCCAAATTACTTCCTATCAGGGAGGAGACGGGTATAGAGTATGTGATGCTAGGACTGAACAAAATAGGCTTAAAGAAAAACAAAAGATTCTTGCAGCTCATCATTTAAAATGGGACTGCTACCCAAAGCCCTCTAAACAGAATCCCTAATGCCTTCTTTGATTCTTAACCAGGTGTCCTCAAACTACAGCCCCGCGGGCCACATGCGGGTGTTTTTGCCCATTTGTTTTTTTACTTCAAAATAAGATATGTGCAGTGTGCATAGGAATTTGTTCATAGGTTTTTTTAAACTATAGTCCGGCCCTCCAATGGTCTGAGGGGACAGTGAACTGGCCCACTGTTTAAAAAGTTTGAGGACCCCTGCTCTTAACCTTTTCCCTTGTGACCACATGCGGACCTGCCAAGGTTGTCATTCTAACTCCTCAGCATGTCTTCTTTTCTCTCTGCCCTGGCTACCTTATACTAGCCTTGGTTTTGGGTCACAGGAGTAGCACTCTGACAGCCCCTCTTTCATCACCATTTCCCACCTGGCCCACTGCTGCAGAGTAATATTCCTGCTCAGCTCTAATGGCATCATTATCCTAAAACAAAATGCAACAAAACCTAAAACAAACACCCCACTGCTCAGTAAACACAGTCCACACTGCATAGCCAGATATTCTATAAATCATCCATAATCTAGCATGCCCTTACCTCCCAACTTCATTTCCCACTACTCCCGAGATCCTTATGGGGACAGAGGCTGCATCCCAGTAGGTAGAAGCACTCTCTGCATGTAGAGTGAGGGTCTCTCTCATTTCCTCCAGGTGGCTCTCTGCCACCTGGAATGCCTTTCTTCCCCATCTTCACATGGCCAACCCTCCCATCACTTCTAAAGAGCCTTCCCTGATCTCCCTCACTAAAAGTAACATTCGTTTCCCTGAACTCTCAAATTCCATCCTCCATATATTCTTCTGGAATCTATGATACAAGCTATACATACATACATACAATCTATGATATAAGCTATAAAGTGATTTATGTGACCATTTTAGGCTCCCTTCTAGGATAAATATTTTGAGACCATGAAACAGTTCTGATCAACTTTGTTTCTCTCATATCTACTAGAGTGCTTTTGCCTATGTTCATGGGCTGAAGCAGAGAAACTGTATTCAGTGATACTTTGTAATTAATGTATATATCATAAAATTTTCATTGTGTAACATGGAAGGATGTTACAATATATGGTTAAATGAAAAAAGCAGATAATAAAATTCCATGTATTATGTGATCCTATTAAAATACATTAGTATATATATACAGACACACCTGGAAGACACTATACCAAAATGAAACAGCTATGGTGGTTTTATTAATAATTTTTCCCTGTACTCACATTGCCATTCTTTTCTATAGGGAGCATGGATTAACTGTGTACAAAAATCACTTGAAAAAGAATAGAAAATTCTTTGACTCAGTAATTTGATTTCTAGAAATTTTATCCTAAGGATGTACAAAAAGATACAGAAGAATGGCCATTATTTCTACCTTTAAAACAGTAAAAAGAAGCAGACACCACAGTCTGCCTGTAAGAAACTGGTGAATAAGCTCTGGTACACTTACACAAAAGAATTTTATGCAGTCACTTAAATGTTGATGTAGGAGGACATTAACTTAGAAAGATAAGCATAATGTGTCTGTGAGTATTAAAAATAGGTTATACAACCTATTAATGGAGAAAATAAACCTACTTTGGTAAATAATTATATTTATACATATTAGAAAAATTCTGGAAGGACATATGACACACCTGTTTAACACTGATTTTTTTTTCTCTTTGAGAAAAGGTCTCCCTCCACCCAGGTAGAGTGCAGTAGCATCACCATAGCTCAAAGCAACCTCAAACTCAGGGCTCAAGAGATCCTCCTGCCTCAGCCTCCCAACTAGCTGGGACTACAGGCGCTCACTACCACACTAGCTAATTTTTCTAGTTTTTTTTTTAGAAACGAGGTCTCACTCTTGCCCATGCTCATCTTCAACTTCTGGCTTCAAGAGATCCTCCTACCTTGGCCTCCCCTGCAAAATGTTAGGATTAAAGGTGTGAGCCACTTCACCTAACACTGCTTTTCTAAGGCTAAAAAAGACTCATAGGTTGCTATATATTTTTTTGTGTGTGTCCCTATTATTCCCTAAATTATGCATGATAAATGTGAAAAACAAAAATTAAAAATTTAAATCTACTTACAATAATGTTATAAGAGTTTGATCACAACTTTATCCCTTTTAAAATAAAGCTTTGAAATCTCTTAGATCCTTAGAAGAAAAGCAATTAAGTACTGAATTATATGTATTTTGAAGCAATCTGAAGAAAATGCAGCCAAGCCCTGACACCATTTTCTTCAGGTCTATAGTTCATAAGAATCACCTGGATGTTTTGCTAAAATGCAGATTCCCAGGAACTTGCTGCTAGATATTCATTCTGTAGGTCTGGAATGGGAGCCCAGTGATGGACATTTCTGACATTCCCCACCCATAAGAGTCACCGATTCTGGTGGCCCACTTTGAAAATTACTGGTTTAAAACAATGACACTAATGAAAGAGTGGGGGTTGGCAAAATATTCAAAGTGAGGCATTAGAGATCATCTACATTTTAATTCTCATATTTCTAGCTAAGAATTCGGAAGGCCAGCTAGGTTCAGTGACTTGCGTGAGGCCAGAGCTGGATTACAACTCACATTTCCTAATTCTATGAACAGTCCTTTGCCTACTCATCAACAGCACAATGCTTCCTCCTCTAGCTCTAGGGTCAAGGGGTGCTTTCCAGATGATTCCTTCACAAATCCAGCTTCCTCCTCGACACACAAACACACACCCCTACTGAATGCAGCCCTCCAAACAATGTTTAATGCCCCCATGACCTGACGTGTCCCCTAATTGTAAATATGAAATGTTTAATGTGCTGACTTCAAGCAGAGTAAACAAAGCAGGGCATTTATCGTCATTTCTCTTTAAGTTCACTCATCTTTACTTTGAAATTATTGTAGTAAACCTCCAAAAAAATCCTACTAGTTATTCCCTGAGTGCCAGAACACTGCTGCTAGAGAAATATTTTCAACTAAGCATTTTCCCATTCAAGAACCAACAATGGCTTTTTAAATGCAAATACATGAACAGTTTTTATTACTGAAACCATAAACATGTACAAAAGTAGACAAAAGTATAATTAACTGTCCTGTTCCCATCACTAGCATTGATAATGATCAGGGAGATACCTGGTTTCATTGAAAGTACCCCCACACGCTCACACTAGATTATTTTGAAGCAAGAGCTAGAGAACCAATCCTTTTCATTCATAAACATTTTGGGATATGCTGCTAGGAGAAAAAACTGAAAAAAACAAGCACACTATTAAGGCTAAAACTATCAAGCCTAAAAAAAAAGATAATTTCTTTATCATCATTGCATACCCAGTTGATATTCAAATTACTCCATTGGTTTCTTTAAAAAAAATTTTATAGGGTGTTTGAATCAGAATCTCAGTCATATACTTCCATTGGTTGTTATGGTTTGAGTCTTTTAATCCTTAGGTTGTCTACCCTTAGAGTGAGTGCCGTGGCATCAGCCTCGCTCACAGCAACCTCAAACTCCTGGCTCAAGCAATCCTCCTGCCTCAGCCTCCCAAGTAGCTGGGACTACAGGCATTCGCCACCATGCCCGGCTAATTTTTTGTATATATTAGTTGGCCAATTAATTTCTTTCTATTTATAGTAGAGACAGGGTCTCGCTCTTGCTCAGGCTGGTTTCGAACTCCTGACCTCAAGCAATCCGCCCGCCTCGGCCTCCCAGAGAGCTAGGATTACAGGCGTGAGCCACCGCGCCCGGCCTACCCTTCTTTTTAAATATGACTTTTAAAAATATTTTTAAATTGAGGTATAATTAATATATAATATAGATTTTAAGTGTAAACTGGATGAGTTTGGGTAAATACATATGCCTGTGTACTCACCTCTCTAACAGAGATACAGAACATCATTTCTCAACCCAGGAACCACCCTGCCCCCAACCACATTTCCAGATAATTTCACCATGAGGTACCTGGGGCACTACAATTATTTTCACGATAGCTTAGTTTTAGAAACTAGGGCTTTTTAAAGTTTTTCCAGTCAAGGTCCAGCCTCTCATGTAGGCAACCAAGGGTCCTTTATAATGAATGTGATGGCTTCATCTTGCCTGTGGGAATTTTACCACTCAATTACTCCCCCACTCAGTTCACTCTGTTCAGAGTGGTCTTCTGACTTAATTACTCTCAACTCTGTGCTCTTTAGTAGGTTGTTCTACAGGCCTGGAATTTCACCATCGTTGACCAGTTAAATTCTAACCATACTCTTTTCAAGGTTTGCCCAAATTCTAATTTCCCCTATAGTTTTTTTTCCTAAAACACCATTCCATACAGGGTTTTTTGTTGTTTTTTTAGAGACAGTCTTTCTCTGTCGCCTGTGCTAAAGTGCCACGGTGTCAGCCTAGCTCACAGCAACCTCAAACTCCTGGGCTCAAGCGATCCTCCTGCCTCAGCCTCCCAAGTAACTGGGACTACAGGCATGCACGACCATCTTCAGCTAATTTTTTCTATTTTTAGTAGAGACAGGGTCTGTCTCTTGCTCAGGCTGGTCTCAAACTCCTGACCTCAAGCTATCCTCCTGCCTTGGCCTCCCCGAGTGCTAGGATTACAGGTATGAGCCACCACACCCAGCTGGCCCACAGAGGTCTCTTTTATTCTATCATTGTCCTGCAGCACATACTGTCCGTACTAAAATATGCCCTGTCTCTCTGTCTTCTCAGTTTCATGTAAGTCTCCTCAATGCAGATGTAAACTCGAGTCCATTCATGCTGTGTTCCTACTGGTGTCCTCGCCAGTGCTTAGAACAATGCTGGGTAATAGAAAGCCTTTTACAAGTGTCCATGTAATTCAATTCAAAGTCGTGAAGATTGTGTTGAGACTAACCAACTACTAAAGCAAAGAACATCATTAGATGT